TGAGAAGTAGGTGAGACTCACAAGGCAGTCAATATCACTAACATGGCTCTCAAAAGTTAGTATTTTCAGCCCAAGATTTGTGCTTCAGTCTATATTAAGACACATAAATCAAAGTAAAAATCAAGCCACTTTTATTCAGGTCCCTAAATATGGATTGAAGAGTGTAACTTTAGTACCTGACTTTGAAAATGTTAGCCTAAATCTTCTGGCATCTCCAGTTAGCAATTGTGTTTTTGTGGCATAAGTTGTGGCAGGACTAGGTGGCAAGTGGGATGTTTAGCTTCATGTGAGCTATTCACTTGCAATCTTTCCAAGAATTTGAACACATCATTTTGCATTTATTTGGTGCCTGTTATCCTAGGATCTCAAAACACATCACAACATGTACAAATCAAATCTGACAATATTCTATTAGGTAGGGAAGTATCACCCCCATTTTACAGATTGAAACACTGAGGCCCAGAGAAGTTAATGTCCTGGTTCTCATCAGTGCTGAGCATCCACAGCTCCTATAAACTACAAATGGAGCTGATCAGGTCTGAAAATCAGATTCTAAAACCCAGATTTTTAAAGATGCCTAAGTCAGTGGCAGTTGGACACTGAGGCCCAGATCTTCAAAGGTATTTAGGCTTCTAACTTCCCTTGAAACCAATGCAAGTTAGGTGCCTAAACATTTTTGAGGATGTGGGCCCTAGGCACTTTTGACAATCCCATGAGGTGCCTCACTGCATCTTGAGGTGCCTAAATACCTTTAAAAATCTGGCCCTAAGTGACTTGCCTCATAGCACACATGTGATCTGTGGCAAAGCTGGAAATAAAACCCTGATTCCCAGCCCTGTCCTTTTATCTAAGGGCTTGGAAAGTTTCCCAGACAACTGCCAGCCAGATGAAGATGTAAAAGATTTGAAAGAGTCCAGTCAGTAAGGACCAGCTTGAAAGGCTCACCCTCAAGCTGGCAGACCCTTATTAACAAACAGCATCCGAAGCCTGCTGGGGGTTCTGTCTTTCAAACATCAGTCTCTGGCAGGTAGGAATCTAACATTTTAAAAGCTTACTCCCTTCCTGGCTTTCTCGCTGTGGGTGTGCAGAGTGACCTATGTGGTGGAGGGGGTCAGCTACTCTGTCCTTCCCAAGCCTCCTACCTGCTGCTAGGGGCAAGCATATCTACTACTTTACTACTATTCGGTTCCCATTACCAGGTTCCTCTCCCTCCAGGGCCTGCATAGGCTGCAGGTGGTTCCCATGCAGCAGCTGAGTGAACTTTACATGATTTTTGTCAGTTTCACTGTTGCCCACAGGGTTCTGAATATTAATGATGAAATTGACTAGAGTCTCATTAATTTCATTCTGGTGCTGCTTCAGAAAGCAGCAGTGAACTCAAGGTGTTGTCTGACTTACAAAGATTGCCTTCAAAATGTGAATGATAGCAATGTCTTAGCAATATCTTAGACAGCTTTTAGGGGCACAGACATGTCTTCCTACTGTCCCTAGCACAATGGAGCCCAGATCTGACTGGGACTTTTGGGGGCTATCACAATACAAATAATAAGCAATAACTGTAAGGGTCAATTGCAGTGATATGTAGGGTAATTAGTACAGGTTTCAAAGTGATGTCACAATTATCTTTGCCTAGGTCTAATCCTGTTTAGGTTTCATCATTTATTGGTACTACTGTGATCCTTGTGATGGCCTCAGTACTTCAAATGCAATACAGTTTTGCTTCAGGTCCGATCATGTCCCTTTCCTCTCAATTATTCTCTATCATGAGCAGAATTTCCTTCTTGGACTTACTAGTACCTGATCCTCAAAACCTAGTTTTAACAGCTACTGCCCTTGGCACAAATGGCAAGACTCATGGGCACTTGGCTTCCCTTTCTGTCTTAAATTGGTCACTGGAGACTGAATATGCAGATACTAATGGGATTCTTCATACTCTTGACAGAAGGAGCTGCTATCAACAGCTTTGGTTCATCTTTCTAAGCAGCTGACCTCTTTTCAGGGGATGATTGGAGGGTTTCATGACAGATTTACTATTTAGTCTAATCTTACTCCTGTGTTATCAGGTGCTCAACCAGAATTCTGCTTTCCAGCCCCACCGCTATGCTGGTCACAAATGCTACTTCCTTTGCCTGTGGAATCCTTTCTCTCTTACTATTCTACATTCTTTCTTCAGTAGAGTTGCAGCACTTAGCTTCTACATCAGACCCTGTCCCTTTTCCTCTAGCAGTCCTCCCCAAAATCTAATTGATTTTGGAAAGGAATCGTCTTCTTTTGGCTCAGACTATAGGCAGTCGACTCCTCAGAACAGCTTCCTGCCCAAATCAGTTTGACTGTCACCGATGAGCTCTTCATGATCATAGGTCTGGCAGGCCCTCAACTATCCTCTTTAGTAGTGGCAGGATCTTTCATCTTTGTGAATGCACACTTTGTTTTAAATTTCCCTTTTCTTCTCAGTTACAGGCCTCTCACAGACTATATTGCATCCATGTGAGGGAGGGAAAGTGAATGCTGCATTCAGGTGGAGAGCTGTGCAGTGTATTCCCAGTGAAACTCAAGCCATGCAACGCTTGCTGGGGTATGTGTTTCATTACAGTCTCAGATTTGGATTGTTGAGGTACCTCTAGAAGCATGAATGGCAGACTCAGGCTCAGGGCATGTCTTCACTATCAATGTTAAAGTACTCTCCCAGCGCTATAAAACAACCACCTCTATGAGGGGAGTAACTACCAGCACTGGGAGCTTGGTTTCCAGCACTGGTGCACTGTCTACACTGGCACTTTACTGCACTGAGACTTACAGTGCTCAGGGGGGTGTTTTTTCACACCTTTGAGTGAGAAAGTTGCAGTGCTGTAAAGTGCCAGTGTAGACAAGCCCTCAATGAGGGATGAGGGAGGGGAAAAGGACCCTCTAATAGTTACAGAAAGGGAGTGGAAATCAGGACTCTTGATTGCATTCCTGGGGCCTGATTCACCATGGCTCTGCATTTGTGTAGTCACTTACACAGTGCAAAGTAGGTGTAAAGCACACCATTCTGATCAATGAATTGGGCTCCTAGTTATAACAGTGAATCCACAGGGAAGTTGCTTAAGGCCAGATTTTTAAAGGTATGTAGTTGTCTAATGGAATTCTTCTTAAATATTTGCCAGTTATGTCTGACAGTCACTGAGCAATATAACAATATTTTGCACTTACTATGTTTCACCTGGAAATTTCAAAACACTTTATTTAAAAATTAAGATAGGGGCTTCAGGACAAGTTGTGTTATTCTTTCTTTGTAAAGTGTCCTGTACACTATGTACATGCATTTTGTAGTAATAATCCCTGTGGGGTAAACAGGTTATGCATCATTTGAAAATGGGGAAATTGAGGCACAGGGATGGGCCAGGGCCATATTTCGAATTAGGCACAGTAGGCATGTGCCTAGGGGCCCTGGCGTTCTAACGGCACCTAAAAGTTAAAAGTGGGTTAAAAGTTTCATTTTTTATGGAAAACACAAAGGTCAGCTGTAGGTGGGGGGACGGGGAGAGAACTGAAGATGCTGTGCCTAGGGGCACGCGTAAGGTGTAAATCCAGCATATGAGTGGCTTGAGGCCACACAGAGAACAGGATCCCAGTCATGCTGACTAACAATCCCCTGCTTTAATTACAAGAACACATCTTAAATGCGTTAAGATCAATAGATAACATCATATTTGTACCAGATGGAATTATAATTCATGGCTTTGAGATTCAAAGTGCAGGAGCTCTTTCCATTTTAGCTGTAGGAACAAACACTAACCAGAGGGAAGAGATACATGTGCGGTAATACAGTATTCCATCCAGTAGAGGGCAGTAGTAGAGACATATAAACCAGTCCATCTGAAAGGGGAAAGATATTCTCCCTTTCCTCAGTTTTCCAATTGAAATCGTGATTCCAGATTAACCTGAGCAACTCTCTCTTCCTCGCCTTGGCACCAGCACTCCCCAGACCTCTGCTCCCTTTCCCTCTGTAGCAATAGGTCCTCTCCTACTCAGGGGGAACTTTCTCTTGTATGTGTTTGGCTCAGCTCCTGCATTACTGGCTTGCAGTTAGCATGGATTTGTGACGGGCTGTTAAAAGATGAAAGGGTAGGCGCGCTCTCTTCCTTGGCTTAATGAGCCTGCCAGAGAGGATCTTGAGCCAGCTGCTGCTGATAAGATCCCTCCTGTGCTGCTCAGCAGACATAGCCTTGAGGATTTCTCCCGCAAAGGTGGCTCGCCCTTAACACTGTCATGCATTGTTTCAGATATACCCTCCCTTGGCTCAGCTCCTAGCCTTAGGCGAACTGGAAAGCGTCTGTCCCCCAACAGACACTCCCACCATAAACAATCACTAAAGATTGAATATTGCCGCCAGGGGTGCTGGAACAGTGTGTATAGTGGGGGTGCTGAGAGCCATTGAACCAATCTGTAAACCCTGTATATGATGGAAATCACTTCAAGCCAGGGGGTGCAGCAGCACCCCTAGTTTCAGCACCTATGACTGCCATCCTAGACAACTGCCTCTCCGGCCTGTGGGCTGCAGCCAGTCTTGTTACTGCCTGTACTTGGGGCTGGGGACACTGAAAAGTACTTGTATGTTGTTGCAATCAGATTTCAGTCTCCCATCCAAGGACGCTGCTTAACATAAAACTAGAGAGACCCTCCTAGACCGTCGCTCATCAGTGCTGTGCCAGGGAAAGGGCAGGAGGGGCGACTGTGCCCCAAAGATGCTGCAAGCTGCTCTGCTTTGTGGGCGATCTCTTAAACAGGCATCCCCTTGAGGGGAACCCCCCTCCCCAGCAACACTCTCTCTCACTCACCCCGTCCCCAAAGCGTTTCCATTTAATATACTACTGCAACACTGTATCCTCCGGCTGGGGGGTTATGAATGGGTGCAGCGGAAGCACCGCCCACCCCGGACGTGACGCTCAGCCAATGGGGGAGCGGGCTGCGTGGATGGATGAGGTCAGCGCTGTGGTGTCGGGGAATGGAATGTGTAAGTGCAACGTTCAGAACCGGGTAACGTTCGGAGATCGAACTCTGCGATCGGCGACGTTCGAACCGGGGCAGGCAGCCTCCTCCGTGCTTCGGCAGCTCGCACCTCATTGACTAACTGGGGGGCGGGGGCAAGGAGGAGGAGGAGGAGGAAGAAGGAGGAGGATCTTCGCTGCTTCGGCTGGTTCCATCCCGGGGGCCATTCACAGAGATCGCGGAGAGAGGGGTAAACAGCACCAGAGTCTAGGAGCTCCTCTGCAGAAGAGAATAAAGAGAAATGCAGGGATTTGTAAGGTTACGGCGCTCAAGCTGGAAGATGTGATGATGATAGCTGTGTGAACCGGCGCTGGCTGTGAGCTGTTGCTGACTTGCTCTGGAACCGGGGGGCTTGGTTATTGCGGGAGTGTTTTGGATGAGTTGAAGTTGCTGCTGTACCTTGATCGTTTGCAACACTAGAGAGAGAGAGAAAGAGTGGGGGAGGGGAAATACACTCCGCCTTGCAACTGATTGAGGGGTGAAGGGAGCTGGATTTGGTGCTTATTTCATTTGTGTGTGTCTGTGTCTGTGGGTGCATGCAAGAGAATTCCCAGCCCTTTGCTTTCCAAGCCCGGGCTGGGCGTGAATTATTCGCCTTCGCTGTTTCTCTCTCTCTCTCTATTGTGCGAGCCAAAGATGAAAGACAGAAGGGGAGAAAGTTAAAGAAATCGCCCACATGCGCTGCATCAGTCCAAGGCTTTGGGAAAGGAATAAAGAGAAGGTGGTAGAAGAGAGTTTGAAGTCTTTGCAGGCGGGAAGATGGCGGACTGGAGCTGAAAGTGTTGATTGGCAAACTTGGGTGATCCTTGTGTTTATTTACAATCATCTTGACCCAGATAGGACACATGCAGGCCAAAAAACGCTATTTCATCCTGCTCTCAGCTGGCACTTGTCTCGTCCTTTTGTTTTACTTCGGAGGCTTGCAGTTCAGGGCAGCGAGAAACCAAAGCAGGAGAGAGGAGCACAGTAGCAGGAATGGCTTGCACCACACCAGCCCGGATCACTATTGGCCCCGATTCCCGGACGCTTTGCGCCCCTTCATTCCTTGGGATCAATTGGAAAACGAGGATTACAATGTGCACATTTCCCCTAGGCAGAAGAGAGACGCCAATTCCAGCGTCTACAAAGGCAAGAAGTGCCGCATGGAGTCCTGCTTCGATTTCACCCTTTGCAAGAAAAACGGCTTCAAAGTCTACGTGTACCCGCAGCAGAAAGGGGAGAAAATCGCCGAAAGTTACCAAAACATTCTAGCAGCCATCGAGGGATCCAGGTTTTACACTTCCGATCCGAGCCAAGCTTGCCTGTTTGTTCTGAGCTTGGATACCTTAGACAGAGACCAGTTGTCACCCCAGTATGTGCACAACCTGCGATCGAAAGTGCAAAGCCTCCACTTGTGGAACAATGGTAGAAATCATTTAATTTTTAATTTATATTCCGGCACCTGGCCCGATTACACTGAAGACGTAGGGTTTGATATTGGCCAGGCGATGCTGGCTAAAGCTAGCATCAGTACTGAAAACTTCAGACCGAATTTCGATGTTTCTATTCCGCTCTTTTCTAAGGATCATCCTAGGACAGGAGGGGAGAAGGGATTTCTAAGGTTTAACACCATCCCTCCTCTCAGGAAGTACATGTTGGTATTCAAGGGGAAAAGGTACCTGACAGGGATAGGGTCAGACACCAGGAATGCCTTATATCACGTCCACAACGGGGAGGATGTTGTCCTCTTGACCACCTGCAAGCATGGCAAAGACTGGCAAAAGCACAAGGATTCGCGTTGCGATAGAGACAACACCGAATATGAAAAGTAAGTGACCAGTGCCCCTTCTGTGTTTGCCTGCCTAAGGTTAGGCCAGCTTTCTCTGGCCTCTCGTGTTCTAGGCAGCTGTCAGCTATCTGCATTTTTAAATGTGCTACATACTTTCAGGCCACAGGAAAGCCATGATTTTTCTTTTCCTGCCCTTTAAATTCTTTCCAGCTGTTAGTAAGTTACTTAGATATACCGGGGCATAGGGGTGGAAGCACCTCATTGTGGAAAATATTTCCAATGGGATGCAAAGTCCTGTAGGTTCTCCTGGGTTTAGCTAGACCAGGAGCTGACGACCTGTGTGCGCACTCTTTGGCTTTGCAACAAAGATGCTGCTAGAGGCTACTCTGGTATCTGGCTCCACTATTCATTCATCATTTTGTCTCTTCAGGGTAAACGTCCTCTTCCTTCCTAGCCCTGAAGTTAACCACCTAGGACAAAGCTCAAAGAGAGCTGATGACTTGTAGAGTGTGTGTGCAGTGATTGTGTGTGTGTGTGTGTGCGTGCACCCAGTCTTGTCTTTCTCAAAGAGCATTTGTCCAGTGATAGGACTGAGTCTGTGATCTGTAGAGATTGGGGTGTAGTAAGATAGCGCACAATCTTATTTCTCTAGATGATACAAATGGGTAAAGGAGGAAAACCCCACAGATTCTAAGGTCCCGTGGTATTTTTTCCCATGTTGATAACTCTTGCCAGTGGCTAGGGACAATTTCTGTATACTCTGTGTAACACTTTGATTACCTTTCTTCTTTTGGTGCTTTGCATACTGCCACTATGGGCAAGTTTAACCAGGTGGTTTAGGTGGGTACTGTATTACTCTTCTCCCCAAATATCCCTTGCAATTATGTAGCTTATATATGTAGCTGCTGAAAAATCACTTTCAGGAATTACCTCTAGAATGGCAATACTAATTAGTCAATTTGAAATAGTTAATTTAAATGCTGACCACTGCTGTGTGTGCTCCAGAGCAAATATTCCCATGCAAAAACTGCATAGTCTGTTTCCATGTAACAGAACTTTTTAAAAAACAGAGCAACTTTATATGGCTGAGTTAGTACAATCTAGAGCTGCATCAGGAACTGCCAAAGGCTGGAAGAGTTTGCAGTGGATAGTGAAATACAGTCTGGGAGAAAAATAATCCTGGCAGAGGGTAATGAAGAAGTTACAATGATATTCATGCTGACCAAAATTTCCAACTGGCTGCCAATTTCTCTTGCAGCCATTAGCCACAAAGTTTGAAATAAATGAATTAGCTAACGCTGAAACCCAGGAAAGCTCTGTGCTTTCTTTGATATGAACATGATCCACCTACTGCTTATTTTAGAGCCCTGTAAGGAAGTGGTGTGGAGCTTCATAAATACTTCTTGGCTTTTTATTTTGTCCACTTTCTGAGCATAGAAAATTGATCATTTTTTTTTTAGTATGAATAACCTGTAAAAACCTGGTGTAAATCCAGATTGTGTAGCTCAAATCAAAATGTTTACACATTTGACTCATGAACTGGGATTTCCTTTAAATTGTGGATAGTAACTGATGTCTTCTTCATAAAACAGAGAGAGAGAGAAAATGCCTATAGCCTTCAGAGATTTCTGGCATATGCTTGTTTAATCTGAGAGAGTCTACACTTTTCATGTCTGTTAGCCACCTTGCTGAATTCTGCAGAATTCACTATGGTTTAAAGTTTTGTTAGATTCTTAAAACACAAAAAAAATACCAGTCAAAGGTTTGACTATTGGGAACTTGAATTACATTGGAACTTGAGCTTGTATTATTTACAATGTCTGTGCAGGTAAATTTCATTAAGGAGTGTACAACATGCATCTTATAGTACACATTAATATTAATAAAAACACACCTATACTAAGAAGTATAGGGATGCCTGCTAGTCCACTTCAGTGGCAAGTGCAACTCTATCTGGGGTAGAGTGCAGTAACTGTTTAACATTGCACAGCAACGCTACGCAATAGTTTAAGACAGGACGTGGAGATAATCATAGTTATTTAAGATTGCAGGAGGAAATTTAGGTCAGCTGAATCTAGTTGTTGAATTGGAATTGTGGTCAGGATATTGGGGCTAATACCCCTGTGAATTACCATAAATGGTTAAGACCTTTTAACTTTTTATCTTATCTGAAAGACCTGCAAGAGCATATTGCTGTCCCTTAGTACAATGCTGAAGCATTGATTCTGTACTGATTTATGGCAAAGTGTGCCACCTACTGAATACCACTTCCTGTAGCATCCTGAGTTTTGCTTTTCTCCCATTCAAATACTGATCATAGCTGACTCTGTTCAATGTATGAAATCTGACAAGGTCACATCCTGAGGCAATTATGGCTACAGGTAGCCAGTAGTATTTCTTACATGTGAATATATAACATATATATGTAAATGTTGTAACAGGTAGTCCTCTATTAGCTGTAACTGAAACTGCACCTGAGAAAGATAACATTGCACAAGGTTATACCAGTTAAAGAAGAAATTTGTTATAATGATTTTAAAACTAGGCCTACGCTAGATCTAAATTCATATTCACATGACTCTCAGGTCAGACCGAGCTGCTTTTGTTCTGCAATTTTTGGATTGGATTAAGCAACATGTCCTCATGGCTTTAAAATGATGTGCATTCTCCAAGAATTGTGTATTAGAAATGGATTAGCTTGTCCATAAGGAGTTGGCCAAGTCAAATATTTCACTCTCTGTGTCAGCTTCTGTGCCACTTTTTTTTTTTTTTTTTAAATTTGCTGTGGCATTTATACTGCCTTGTTTCTGTGCTTGTGTTCATCACATGATCCCCTTCATATAGTACTGATCCATGCAAGTGCAGAAGTATTGATCCATGCAAGGTGCATCATGAATGATTTGAGCTTGGCTGTAAGAAGAATCTTTGTCAAGCCAGCTAAACTAGATGATTGGACTTAAAATCTTGATGATGTCGTATCAACAGAGTAAGGTTATGATTTACATTTATTTCCAATGTAAAATGTCACTTTGTAAAAAAGGTAATATTGACATTATTTGCAATGAAATTCTGCCTGGAACAAAATGATTAGGGCCCGGTAAAAGCAAGATCTACATCTCTACAGAATACAGCTTCTCTCTTTTCTCCCTCTACCCTTTCCCCAAGAGATGAGAAAAGTCAACTGATGATTTCTCTATTTATGTAAAGTGAAAAGTGCACCTTATTCTATTGAGAAGGGGGACATATTTGGCTCAGTCTTCATAAGTTCTATTAAGAGAGCCATCTGTATGTGAGAGCTAATTAATTTTCATCAAAGTTATGCATCTCGGCAGATAAAGCTGATGCAGACTAAAATGAATTGCATTATCGTGATTAGACTATTGCAAACAGGGTTTTTAAAAATACTTTCTGTATTCTGCCCCTGAATCTCTTCATTAGGGTTGACTTCTATAGTCTATCATTAGAACCACTCTTTTTTTAAAATTCCTTGTCAATATGATTTTTTTAAATTTTATCTTGATACTTTCCACTTTTGGAAATGGTTAGGTGCATACATTGAAAGGAACAGGTGCCGTGTTTATTGAAGGTTAAAGAGAGGCCATTTAAAGGTGGACTAAACACTGTCTTTTGACAAAAGCAAAATTCATGGGTAGGTTAAATTAATGTCAAGTTACTTTTTGGAAGGTAATATTACAGATTACCATTGATGTGGTCAGAAAGGTAATAGAGGACACAAATGCAAGCTGCATGTCTGTCCTAATGTAGCCAGAAGCTTTCAAGACATTTTCTAAAAACTGAAATCTTTCTAAGGTGGAAGATAGGTTGGGTTATAGACATTGCTATCTTTGCCTTTTTGACTCTGGATAGCCCTGACCTCACACCTTTCAGAAAATGGAGAAAGTAACAGTGATGGTAGTCACATGTTTAGGGCCTGATCCAAAGGTGACTGAAGTCAATAGGAGGCTTTTCCTTGACTTCATTGGACTTTGGATCAGGCCCTTCATACTCCACCAATGGTAAAAAGGATTAGATCCTCCTATGTGGAATCAGTGATGGAAACTTCATCAATGGAAAAATCCATAGATTAGCTATGAGAGAGAGACAGAATACATGTAGAACGATCTTGGCTCTTGTAGCCTCTATGAACTGATCAGAGCATAAGCAAAGGGAGACATTATTCAAACCTTCGCCTGCTACACCTGTCAATCAGCCAACGCCCAAATACAGGATACGTTGTGTGGCCACAACCCAAAATAAGGGACACAGAGAAATGCTTCATGCAGGGAACGGAAAGTGATGTGGGATCAGTTCCACCAAATTGGTGTGGAACGTAGACCACTTTGAGCCTGAAATGAGGAACATTTTAGAGGCCCGTAAACACCCAGCTGAGCACTCTCCTTTTCAGTACATGGAATATAGGCTCAGCAGACCAAAATCCAACTAGACATCTGTATATGCACCTATAAATATGTGGCATCTCTCTAGATAGTACCAACCTATTGCATGCTTATGCTAGATGAATGTATCTCTACAAATTTCCATTCATTTTTAGTATACCATATGTAACTTACAGATAGACGTACATTATGCTGAAAGAACCATTGTCCTAAGCATTTTTATGGATACCTATGTGAAGGTTATAATGAAGCATAATAAAGAACAAAAAGGGAAAAAATTAAATGTTTAACTGGTTACTGTCTTTTCTTACCTGCCAAGAATATAGAGTCTGGGGTTCTGGGTGTCCTCTGTTAGAATTAGCAGTACAAACCCCTAAGTCCTTTTCTAAAGTCCTCCCTCGTTAGGCAGTCTCACAAGGGAGACTCCAAACTTTAAAATTGGATCTTGGCAGGCAAATAGAGGAGCTGAGCTTCAAATATGTTATATTAAATTGTCAACATATTTGTCCCCTTTAAGTCTCTGCATAAATTCTTTTACTGATTTGGCATCTTGTAAGTAAGATTTGTTTTTAAAAAAAATTTCAGTTCACCTTTTAAGCTGCTATTTAGGAATGAGTAAGAAACCCTCAAGTTCAGTGTAGA